GATTAGCTTGATGACGATTTTCTAAAGATTCTGAACTTCTTATATGTGATAATTTGATAGCTTGTATGGACACTCCAACAATTCTCTCACTCGATACAACAATGGATGAAGATGAAAACAAACTTATAACTATTGGCCTTGAAAGCGAGGAACATGATCTACTATCTACAACAAGTTTTTATCTCAGGTGATAATAACTCATTGTTTATAATGTACTACTAACTAATGACATATACCAAAATAGTTGTCTTTAGTATGAGTTTTATAAGTTTTGTTTTTCTATTTTTGTAGGCATCCGAGCATGAGGAGAATGTTGATGAGCCTATTGGCGTTGAAAATTGTGAAGGTAATTTTGTTGTTGATCCATATATCGGAATGGAGTTCTCTACTCATGAGGAAGCTTATAATTTCTACAATGCATACGCCAGACTTAAGGGATTTGGTGTTCAATTCGCAAAGGTCATACAACTTGGTCGAGAAAGAAAGATGTAATCATATCTAGAATATTTGTATGTGACAAGGAAGGATTTAAATTTTTAAAAGATAAAAGAGAAGAAGGTCGGAATGTAATTCGAAAGTTTGATACAAGATGTGGATGCAACGCAAGGATGATTATTGGACTCGATAGAAGCACTGAAAAATGGGTGGTCCGAAATTTAAACATTAATCATAATGGTCATCCATTAACCACCCCAAATCGGGTAAAGAAGCACTACTCACATCGGACACTTCATCGAGCTCAATCGACAAAAAGGTTGATAGATACTCTTGACAATCAAGTTTACGGCCTTCTACCATTTGTAAGGTTGTAGACGTTGCTCATGGAAATGAGCAAGGCTCTCTCACTCAACAAGAATGCCAAGCACAACTTAGAATCAAAAGAAAAAATAATGTCGGCCATGAGTGTGTGAACATAGTTCGTCAATTTCAAGAGAAAAAGGTATCTGATCCTCAATTTTACTTTGCACTTGATTTAGAAAATGATGGGACGATGAGAAGTGTTTTTTGGATGGATGGTAGGTCGAGGACTTCTTACTTGCAATTTGGAGATGTTGTTTGCTTTGATGTTACATACAGAACGAACAATTTAAAATTGCCGTTTGCACCATTTACGGACGTTAACCATCATCGGCAATCTACTCTATTTGGATGTGCGTTACTGGCAGATGAAACGGAGGAGACGTTTATATGGTTATTTAGTCAATGGTTAAACTGTATGTCGGGTATAGCACCATTAACAATCATCACTGATCAAGATAAAGCTATGTGTAGTGCAATTCACAAAGTTTTTCCTCAAACTCGTCATCGTTTTTGTTCTTGGCACCTTCATAGGAATGCCTTACAAAATATAAGAAAAATTTGTAAAGCGTTGGGAAGAAATGCGGGATAAATATGGTGCAGATAAAAGGAATTGGTTAGTAAATTTATACAATCATTGAGACCATTGGGCTCCAGTTTATCTTAAAGATACTTTTACTACAGGAATAATATCTACTCAGCGGAGTGAGGGAATTAATGCTTTTTTTGATCATTTTGTGAATGTAAATACCGAGTTACATGATTTTGTTAAGCAGTATGATAATGCTGTCAGAGCTCGCCGAGCCGCTGAACTTGAGCAAGATTTTAAGTCCACAAACTCAGTTCCTACATTGATAATTGAACATCCCATTGAAAAACAAGCTCGGGAGAATTATACGAAGAATCTGTTTACTATCTTTCAGAAAGAACTCAAGGATAGTTACTCCATGCTTCATGAAAAGTTGTCGAAGGACGGCGCAAGTGCTACTTATGCCGTTTGGAATATAGATAGCGAGGCTGAGAGCAAGAAGAGGGTAAAGCATCATGTTGTTTTCGATGCATCCAAAGATAAAAGAATTAAGTGCTCTTGTGCGAAATTTGAGATGGAAGGTATATTATGCAGACATAGCTTGCACATTTTAATAAAGAAGCAAGTATTATAAAAATTCCATCAAGATATATTATGCAACGATGGACAATTAAAGCAAGACATGTTGGTTGCGGAGTTGTTAGAAATTGCATTACAAATAGTGAAGACCAACTCTCTATCATTAAACATTGGGCCCTTAGGAGTAGATGTAACAAGGCACTAGAAGATACATTGACTTCAAGTACACTTCATGATAAGTTTAGTGTTTTTTTAGACTCATTTTTTGAAGAAGCTGAGAATTACAAGAAAGAGAAGGAACATAACGACAATGGAAATGAAAGTAATGCCAGCAATAAGATGCATACTTCATCCATACCCATCTCTGTAGAGGAAGCAACTCAAATCACTATTCGTGATCCAGATAAGCCTATTGCCACGAAGGGACGACCAGCACAGGCTACAAGAATTAAGACCGGAATGGAGATAGCACAAGAAAAGAGTATAAAAAAACAAAGATTTTGTGGATTTTGTAAGGGAAAAGGACATTATATAACAAGTTGTCCTTTAGCTAAGGTATTATATTTAATCTTGTTTTAATATATTTTTCAATTCGATGCATTTGTCATGATAAAGTTGTAATTTTTCTGTAGATGAAAAATGTTTCAGGTGGAGGTCGACAAAGTTAATGGAGGACCAAAATAAAGTTAACGGTGGGCCAAAACAAAGCATGTGTTTCGGAAGAATGATGATAAATTGAATTAAATTTATGTACGTATAAATGATTTGGTTATTTAGATTAATCATGTATGGATGATAATGTGGTTGTAATGAATAATCATGTATGGATGATAACTTGATTATAGTTTATTTATGTATGGATAATTTGGTTGTATGGATTATTCATAATTTGATGCCCCCCACCAATTTCAATGCATTTTTCATAATAAAGTTAATTTTTTTTTGTAGATGAAAAATGTTGCAGGTGGAGGTTGAGAGAGTTTGAAATAATATGTTTCAGAATAATATGATGATTTAAACAATGAATTATGTGTTCTTTGAACCTTGTGTGCCTTAATTTTGTGAGTTGATAATTTTGGAAGGAGTTACAAAAATTAATGAGTTACAGATTTTTTTAAAACTTCACCAACGGATTACATGGTCTAACGAGTTACAAAAATTGATTAAGGGGTTATAAATTTTTTTTTCAGAATTAAGAGTTACAAAACTTGATTAAGGGGTTACAAAACTGGTCTAAGGAGTTATAAATTTTTTTTAAAGAGTTACAAATATTTTTCAGAACTATGAGTTATAAAACTTCACCAACGGGTTACAATATTGGTCTAACGAGTTACAAAAATTGATTAAGGGGTTATAATTTTTTTTTTCAGAATTAAGAGTTACAAAACTTGATTAAGGGGTTACAAAACTGGTCTAAGGAGTTATAAAATTGTTTTAAGGAGTTACAAATTTTTTTCAGAACTATGAGTTACAAAACTTCACCGACGGGTTACAAAACTAGTCTAACGAGTTACAAAAATTGATTAAGGGGTTATAAATTTTTTTTTCAGAATTAAGAGTTACAAAACTTGATTAAGGGGTTACAAAACTGGTCTAAGGAGTTATAAATTTTTTTAAGGAGTTACAAATTTTTTTCGGAACTATGAGTTACAAAACTTCACCGACGGGTTACAATATTGGTCTAACGAGTTACAAAAATTGATTAAGGGGTTAGAAATTTTTTTTTCAGAATTAAGAGTTACAAAACTTGGTTAAGGGGTTACAAAACTGGTCTAAGGAGTTATAAAATTTTTTTAAGAAGTTACAAATTTTTTTCGGAACTATGAGTTACAAAACTTCACCGACGAGTTACAAAACTAGTCTAACGAGTTACAAAAATTGATTAAGGGGTTATAATTTTTTTTCAGAATTAAGAGTACAAAACTTGATTAAGGGGTTACAAAACTGGTCTAAGGAGTTACAAAAATTGATTAAGGAGTTACAAAAGTTTCAGAGCTATGAGTTACAAAACTTCACCAACGGATAACAATACTGGTCTAACGAGTTACAAAAATTGATTAAGGGGTTATAAATTTTTTTTTCAGAATTAAGAGTTACAAAACTTGATTAAGGGGTTGTAAAACTGGTCTAAGGAGTTATAAATTTTTTTTAAAGAGTTACAAATTTTTTTCGGAACTATGAGTTACAAAACTTCACCAACGGGTTACAAAACTAAAAATTGATTAAGGGGTTATAAATTTTTTTTTCAGAATTAAGAGTTACAAAACTTGATTAAGGGGTTACAAAACTGGTCTAAGGAGTTATAAAATTTTTTTAAGGAGTTACAAATTTTTTTCGGAACTATGAGTTTCAAAACTTCACCGGCGGGTTACAAAACTAGTCTAACGAGTGACAAAATTTGATTAAGGGGTTATAAATTTTTTTTTTTCAGAATTAAGAGTTACAAAACTTGATTAAGGGGTTACAAAACTGGTCTAAGGAGTTACAAAAATTAATTAAGGGGTTATAAATTTGATTCAAGGGTTATAATTCTGGTCTAAAATTTTATTAAGGAGTTACAAAAGTTTTTCAGAAGTATACTCTAATTTTAGATTTACGTTGAATATTGCACCCTGTCATCTTATCAACATAGCAAAACTAGCATATAACTCAACCCGAACTTCATTTAAAAGCAACAATATGTACCATAATAGTGAAAGAAAGGGCCACAAAAATTGTGTCATCAGACACTTTTTTCATTTTGTGCACTAATATATTTCTAAGCAAGGCAATATCATAACATAGCAAGTGTAAAGTTTTCAAGAAACTGGTACAAAACTCTAGTCACGCTCTCATTCTGCAATATCTAATTAGCCGAAGTTTCAACAACATGCTACAAAATAGCAAAACAAGCATATAACTCAACCTGAACATCAGCCAAAGATACAATAAACAGAAACTTCGGCTAATTAGATTCGCCCACAGAAGATTTCAAGGGTGCATCTTGATGGGATCGACGAGAAGAAGAATATGCTGATATTGTAGAACTTGTTATGCTTAGCGATTGCTTGGTGAGGTCCTTGCTTTTCTTGGCAGCAAACAAAACTACCCAAAAGAATCACACCCACCCTGTAACAAAAGAGTCAATTTGGAATTATCATTCGATAATTAAATCCAAAGAAGAACCCACGGGTGAAAATTAAGGAATTAATGACATGCTCTTCCATCTATTTTAGCTTGTGTAAAGAGTAATATTTGAGTAATTACCTTGTGAATTACAATCGTCAGAAATATGGTGAATTGCGTGCATACAAGAGAGCTGCACAAAACTTTGCTCTGTATTTTGCACACTCTCCTTGTGAGATTGTTATCGATCGCTTTTCGACAATGCTATTAATGAATTCAATCACAAAGATCCCACAATCTAAGGTTCTGCATTTAGCAAAAAAACAAAATTACGACATTGAAAATTACCTTCGAGGAAAAAATTGAAATATTACAATGTAAATGCATGAAACACGTACGGTCCTTGTTGAGGAGCGGCAACTGACACAAGTTCATGGTGCTCTAATTTCCCCAACGTCCAATTACTCTCTATGAAACTCATAAACTTATTTTTAAATTTCGCAGCATCGGCGGTATAAAGGGAAGACTTGATTGAGGAGTAGTGATAGAATTTTTTCTCCTCCCTCACTAACTCTACCATATGCCAATGTCCGGAGCTGACAATTGGGATCAAAATTCTTTCACACTCACAAAACTTTTGCTGAGAAACATTTTCCTTCATTCGTTTTGCCATCATTTCAATATTTCCTTTCAGAAATGCTTGCTACAAAGAGGCATCAATGTAAACCATGTAGGGAAACATAATAATAAATACCAACATCCATGCTATTAATGAATTCAATCACAAAGATCCCACAATCTAAGGTTCTGCATTTAGCGAAAAAACATAATTACGACCTGGTGATTTACCTTGAGGAAAAAAATTGAAATATTACAATGTAAATGCATGAAACACGTACGGTCCTTGTTGAGGAGCGGCAACTGACACAAGTTCATGGTGCTCTAATTTCCCCAACGTCCAATTACTCTCTATGAAACTCATAAACTTATTTTTAAATTTTGCAGCATCGGCGGTATAAAGGGAAGACTTGATTGAGGAGTAGTGATAGAATTTTTTCTCCTCCCTCACTAACTCTACCATATGCCAATGTCCGGAGCTGACAATTGGGATCAAAATTCTTTCACACTCACAAAACTTCTGCTGAGAAACATTTTCCTTCATTCGTTTTGCCATCATTTCAATATTTCCTTTCAGAAATGCTTGCTACAAAGATGCATCAATATAAACCATGTAGTGAAACATAATAATAAATACCAACATCCAATGAAAAAACAGGGATATACTTACTGCAAGCCAAGGTCTCGTAACATGTATTTTTCGATCATAACTATTAGTTGTCTCAATCTTATAACAAAGTCGAATAACAAATGCATCGATGACCTACAAAAATTACCATGAATGAGTGAAATATTTATAACTAATATATACAACATCAACCACCAACCATGACACAATTTAGCACCTACATCGTCACTGAGTTCACCTCCTGTTAAAAGTCTATAAGCATCTAAGCGAGATACACTTGCTTCGGCATACTTCCAAACGTATGTATCACTATATGCAAGTACGTGTGAGAAAATTGTGACTAAAATTAAGTTAATTTAAAGAATTATTATTAGAATAAGTCCTTAACAGTTACCTGGTCATTTCCAGTTGTAGAAAGTTGTCTATTACTTTGTCCTCATAATCAGAGACCAGTGTCTTTCCTGGATAGTTGCGAGATCTAGGTATGAAGCCTTCTTCATTTATGCACTTCTTTTTAGGACTCCCCTCGGGACTATCCAAGATCTGGATAACGCGTTTCTTCTTTGTGACTTCTTTGGGTTGATCTAGACGCAAATAGGGTGAAGTGACAAAGGGTCCATCCTTCCTCTTCCTCTTTCTGACAGCCCGTTTGATGGATGGGGTTTCCCTCTTATTATCATTACCACCTTCCTCATTTTGAGAAAAATCTCTAAGGAGTTGAAATGCATATAATTAACAAAGAGATACACAAACATTATACAAAAAGTTAAAAAAGCAAAAACTAAGAGAATAGAAACTCACAATTCATGTTCAATATCGACTTTCTCAATTTCTTCTTCTATATTTTCCTTGAAGTGGGTTTCATTATCCTCTATCACTTTCTCTTCCACATTCTCATTATCATTAGCTTTTGTATCCTCTTTGCTTTTATTCTCTGCATTAGCAGTTACCGTATCCTCTTTCTCCTTATTCTTTTTTATGCCTCTAGCACCACACTCTTCTAATTCTTGTAATTCAGCAGTGAGCTCATTCAACTCGGCAGTCTTCCTAGCAATTATTGCAATCAATTCAGCTTTCCGTGATTCCTATAACACAAAAAATATATACGCATTAGTACTCATATTGTAGTTATAGATAAAGATATTAAAAAAAGAAAGGAACATAAAAATAGTGAACTATTAGAGCAAAGATGTGAACAAACTTCGTGCGATGCCCTATGAAAAAGAGGAGTATTCTTTTGGCCAATATCTGTAAGAAACTTTGGATCTCTGAATAATTTGTTCATGGTAGTCCTCCTCCACTTTTCGGTATTCTTAACACAAAATATCAGCGGTAGCCCCTCAATATCTGAAGTATACTCTAATTCTCCCACTATTTCATAAAACCAAACCTACAAAAAATCTATATATTAGAATGTGCATAAACAATAACCATTGTCAAAAAAGATTTTTACAAAGTAATTCTCATGCAACTCACCAGTAATACGGAGGAAAAACCACCCATGTAACCAGCGTATGAACGCTCCCCTAAGTTCCTCATACTAAGAGACTTCTTCGCCTTATTCATCTCTTTGCATAGAAAAGTAAACACCGCATGACACCAATTATATTTATTCAAAGTGGACAACTGATCTGCATATCGAAACGCCCATAAAGGACATGTCCTACATGTTCGCGGGCATAATATGAAGCCGATAATGAAAGCCACAATAAATTTCACACAAGTTACATGATCTTTATTAGCCATTTCTACAATAATCTCAGCCATTCTATCGCGCATCCCCCAAATCACCGCCTTCTTTTCATCATCGACTTTCTTCTTGCCTTTACTCCTACTACCTTTCTTCTGCTTGAGTATCTTATAATTCTTTACAATTTGGGTGTAGATTGTATTAGCCGCCGTTCCACTCATTTTTATTGGAATTCCCTCCTTTGGTAAACCGGTAATTCGGTGAATATCCTCTATACCAAATACACATTCTTTATTGCCAATCAAAAATGAGCATTTATCAGGATTAAATTTTTGAATCAAGCATTCAATTGCTATTTGCTCATTGTTCAATGATGTCGGTATTCGGAGAAAGTTGTGAAAAGGTGTCGTCTCAAGAGATTTCGTATGCCTTTCATCCAATACTATACGCTTATCAATTAAATCTCGAAAAAAACAAATATTGGATGGAATTCTTAATTGTGTTATCATAGCCCTACAAGAGAATTATAATTCAGAAATAGTTAAAAATTATATATATTTGGGCAAATTAAGACGCATATTAACACAAACAATTAACCTAAAAATTAAATAGATACTCGATATGACAAGAATCACAATAATTTTTACAAGTTTATTAACACAAATATTATCTCATATGGGGTTTCTATATCTAAACAAACAACTACATAATACATAACAGATTTGGAGAGGGGGAACAAAACATGCAAGAGGATATATCTCATCAAGCTATGACTTGTTGACACATACATCAGTAGGCGGAGACATCAATTTCAACTTTCGACGCATATTAAAACAAACATTATATCTCATACAAAAATTTACTTACAACGTAAGAGGATTATTGCATTTAGAAGAGGAAGGCTTTGATTTTGAAGAAATCGAAGGCGTTGACGCTTTCAATTTGTTCGAAGTCATGAGGGCTGATGAAGAGGTCGAAGCGAACTCCAAATGAGGGGATGTCGAGGGCGAGTGCGAGCTTCAGCAGCGACGCTGAGCGTGCGTATACTGAAAAGATAGAAAACAAACCTGTCGATGTATCGAATATAACTACGTGTTAAAAACATAAGATTTCTTTTGTTCAAACTTTATTACACTTAACAATAGTGTCTGATGTGCTTGTTTTGTTGCACGCATTGTTATCTTTATTATCTTCGAGATATGAATTCACAATGTTGTTGGTGGTTGCTCTATACAATATCATTCGGACATAGAATATTGTCAGCATTGCTTGTGCCCTTTTTACGTAAATTTACGGCGAAATCCACTCTTGCTGAATAATATCCGTAAATGCACATTAGATATATGGATGCTTATACTTGCACCTTTACTTTTATTTCAAAAAATCTGCATATTTCCCTATCATTATTTGGTGTGGGCCTGTCGCTCATGTCTGTAAGTGTGCTTTATGACATAGCAATTATTTCGATTGCATATTTCGATTGCACATTCATTATCTTGCACGCACGAAAGCAAAAGGTGGAAACTGGGATCTTTGCTGGGGGCGTATAATTCAATTTGATAAAAAAAATAACATACAAAATAAAAAAATCACCGGAATTCAAAGGGAGCGATGGTGAGGGATGTGGAGGGCTCAGACCTGACTACAGCGGCGGTGGTGAGCGTGGGCGGAAGGCGGCGAAGCTGAGCGGCAGCGTGATCCGATGCAGAAGAGGAGACGACTGTGGTGAGCGCGGTTGATCTCGAGGGCGAGGGCGAGGGCAAGAGGGCTGAGCGCGGGCGAGGGCTCGGGGGCTTAGCGTGGGCGGCGATCTCCGGAGATAAGAGGCATCGAATAAATCTTTTTTTTCGTTGGGAAAGGCAGGCGGTGATAGAGGCGATCGGGGTTGGGAATTTTCGGGGTTGGGAATTTTTTAGCGGAAGGTGGGGAATTAATTAACGTGGGGAGTTACATAATAAACAGAGGGCTGAGATTATCCCACTATATTTTGAATGGACGGTCTAGATCGCGCTATATATATGCAAACCCGAAATAAACCTGTTTGACCCGAACCAGAAAACCTAGTCTGACTAGGAAAGTAACCTTTGATAATTTTGCTGTAACTTTATCATCCGACATCGGAATGAGGTGATTTAGGATTTGATGGAAATATATTGAAGATACCTACAACTTTGGTCTTTTGAGTTTTTCTATATTCAAACTACATCGGTGCGTAAAATATATAAACTCTTAACTGGTCATTTTTTCCAGATTTCTCTTCGTGCATGTTTTGTGCATTTGCACTCATATATTCACAAATATACATTGAATTAATCTAAAATTAATTCCTATCTTACTAAAACATCAAAATATGTTATATTTTTACCATATAACATATTTATTATTATTTTTCACATAATATTCAAAATTTTGGGGTTTTACAGCTTTATAATTTTTAATTTTTTTCAATGTGGTGTTTGTATTTTTAAACTTTTAGGTCTTGTCAATCATTTCATGTTGTGTAGGGGAGTGTTAAAAAACTCATATTTTAAGATGTTTTGTGTAATTTTTAAAATTTTTAGTGAGGAGGTTATTAGTAATTTTTAATATTTTAGGGTTATGCTTGTAGTTTCATATTATTCAGGAAGCTCCTCAAAATTTGTATATTTTTAGGGGTTTTGTGTAGATATGCATAAACTTTTAATTATTATTAT